ATTATAAATCCATGCATCGCACCAGTACTAGTTACGAGTCACACGTAAATGACGTGGTCTGACAACGCTGAGGACATACTGGGGGTACTATTTTTGATGGAAAAGCACGCGAACTGGGCCATTTTGCGCCGTGTAGAGTCAAAACGTACCGTGCTAGGACTGTGGAAAAACGGCATATGTCTCTCAGCTGGCCTGGGAACGCCTTGGGGTCCCCCCGGACGAGCTGGAGGAAGTGTGTGTGGATAGGGAAGTCTGGGCGTCTCTGCTTAGACTGCTGCCCCCGCGACCCGGCAACGGATGAAGCGGAAGAAAATGGATGGATGGAATGGTTTAAAAACAAAACACATGCATTTGTTGGAATGGCCCAGTCAAAGTCCAGACCTAAAACCAAGTGAAGGTCTGTGGAAGACCTGGAAACTGCTGTAAACAAACGCTCTCCACCCAATCATTTTATAATAATTTCCATCAAATATTACCATGATTATTCTGACTTTGTATTTAGGTCCGATGAATGTGCTACAAATATCGAAATACCCCACTGCTGTTGCTTCAAACTCCTCAGATTTATTAGACCACGCCTCCTTGGCTCTGATCAAATCCCAACAGCGACCTCGACTTTAAGCGTCCACAATCCTTCGGTCTTCTTCTTGGTTTTATTGCTTATTAGACGGAAGCCATTGTCTGCAGTGGTCAGTGTCGGACCACCCACCGAGAGGCCAGGGACCGGGGCCAAAGGGTCACACGGAGCGGAGGGAACATCTATCTGAAGAAGACAGCACTTAAGATGCTTTCTATGCTGATTTTGGTCCATGAATTGCTATTGAAAGCCGGGGTACCGAGCCTTTTTGTGGCGTACATTTTGTCCCGACATAAGGAGTTGTGTGAAAGTAAAAACGTGCTGGATTAATTTTATGATAAAACATCCAATCTTTTGCAAACTTTTAAGAAAGAGTCATTGTTTTTTTTTTTTTATACTTTATTTTTTGAGTTTTTGCCTTTACAACATAAGGTGATTGTCATAAAAAACAAAAAACCTCCCAAGGCAACATTTATAGTGCAGAGAAAAAAAAAAAAACCTAAAACAATACAAATTACATACAACTATTAATAATCATAATAATACTACACATAAAACAAAATAGTAATATAATAAAAAACAATAATAGTACAATAAAAGAAAAAAAAAAAAAAAATAGTCTGTTTTAAATATTTATATATACGCATACATATGCACACTCATTTACATATATGTATGTATACACCTATATACACACATATACCCCCCAACACATATGCTCATACACATATACCTATATTCATGCATACATGCACTTCATTATATATCTCCTTCATGCACATGCATGAAGCAGTGCGCACACCCTCAAAACAAATTTGCCTCAGCTTCATTCTCCCATTGTCTTATTCATACATTATATGCATTTACATACGTTTCATCATAATTAAAATAAAAATAAAAGTAAAAAATGAGTTAATGAGGAGTTCCATTGACTTCATCAGTACATCAATCTTTAAGAGAAAGCATTAATGAGATAAGAAAAAAAAAATAATAATTTGTGTATATGTATATATACCTCCATACACATACACATACATACCCATGCATGCATACATACACACAATATGCACATATATATACACACACATACCCATATACATACATATATATACACATATACATACATACACACCTATACCTACATGCATACGTATATGCCTTCACATACAAAGAGTATTAAGTCAGAGTCTACAGGTGAGACTACATATCACCGAACCACATCATTCTCAAAGTTGTGGAGCAGAATTTGTTAATCACAAAAAATATATCATGAGCCACTTCCTTTGAAAAATTATTTCTTTGTTCCTAATTTTGTGGGTTATTTTTTCATTAATTTTTACCTCCTGTATTAACTTCACCCATTTTATAAATACTGGTGGATTTTCATTTTTCCATTCTTTAGTAATGGTTTTTAATGCCGTAATTCTTAAAATTCTAAATAAATAATAGTCTTCTGGTGTTAAATTTACAGGTATTTTACCTAGTAGCATATTTTCAGCCTTTATTTCCAATTGTTTCTTAAAAGTTCTTTCCATTTGTTTCTTAACTTCTACCCAAAAGGACTGTATTTTATTACATGTATAAAATATATGAGTATAATTAGCATTTTCTTCTCCACAATTCCTCCAACACTTACCACTATTATTTATATTTTTCAATTTTTCCGGGGTGAGGAAGTATCTCATATTAATTTTCCAGGAAAATTCTCTCCAAAACAAGGAATGAGTGGTTCGGTGATTTCCAATACTGATTTGTTCCCATTCTTTTTCTGTTATTTTTATGGATAATTCATCCTCCCATTTTTGCTTGATGTTTAAAACCATTTTTCCTTCTTGATTTAGTAACGCTTGATATATTTGACTGAGGCCATTTTGGATTCTTGAATTTGATAATCTTTCCATTAACAATATCATGGGATGAATCTCTTTTTTGTTTGTTATTTTATCTTTGAGATAGCTTCTTACTTGCAGGTATTAGACAGGTTTCCATTGACCTTGACTGCTGCTTTTGGTTCTGCATACATTATATTAAGAATTTGTATGATTTTATCATGAAAACCAAATGCCTTAAAGGTCTTAAATATAAAGTCCCATGACAGCCGATCAAAGGCTTTTTCAGCATCCAATGTTAACATTAAAGCCTGTTGTTTGGATCTGTCTACCCAATCAATAATGTTGAGAACTCTCCTCACATTGTCTGACAGGAGCCTTCCTTTTACGAACCCCGTTTGATCTTCTTTCACGAAAATTGGAACCAAGTTTGAGATTCTGCTTGCTAAGATCGATGTAAATAATTTTTGGTCCACATTTAGTAAAGAGACTGGTCGATATGAGCTGCATTTGGTGAGATCTTTACCCTCTTTCGGAAGAACACTGATGACTGAATCATTCCATGTAGCAGGCCATTCTGCCTTATCAATTATCCAATTAAACAACTTGCATAGAATTGGTGCTAACAAATCTTGGAAGGTTTTATAAAATTCATTGGTATATCCATCGCCTCCTGGACTCTTACTAAGTTTACTGTTTTGTATTGCTGTAAAAATTTCTTGAACAGAGATATATTCTAACAATTTAACATTTTGTTCTGTAGTTACTTTTTTTAAATTGAGTGACTCCAAGTATTTCTGAGTTTCTTTGTTGATATTATCAGATTGTCCATATAGTTTCTTATAATATTCAAGGAAGCAGTTAATAATTTCATTTTCCTCAGTACAATAATTTAAATCACTTCCCTCTATTTTAGATATAATTGTTTTCTCTTTTTGTTTTCTTAGTTTAAAGGCTAACATCTTTAATGCTTTTGGACTATTGTCATAATACTGTTGCTTTGTAAGTGCAAGAGATTTTTCAATTTCATCTGTAAGTTTTTCGTTTAGATCATTTTGTTTTTCTTTTAGTTTCTTTTTTACTTGATCATCTCCCGTCTCTTCATGTTCTGTTTGTAATTGTGCTATTGTTTGTCTTATTGAGTTCATCTCTTGCAGATACTTTTTCTTTTTCCAAGAAGCATATGAGATTATTTCTCCTCTTAGGGTGGCTTTAGCTGCTTCCCATAGAATAACCGGGGACATTTCCTCCTTTTCATTCTCTTGAAAAAACCTTTCTATGCTTTGATTGATTTTTTTAATGAAGTATTCTTCCTGAAGAAGTGAATTGTTCAGTCGCCAAAGTGTTCTTTTTTCATTATTTATTTTTAAAATTACAATAATAGGGGCATGATCTCCCAAGATTATGGGTTTTATCTCACATGTTTTTAGTCTTGTGATGTCCTCCTTAAACATAAAGAAGTAATCCAACCTTGAATATATCTTGTGAGCTTCTGAGTAGAATGTATATTTCCTTTCTTGAGGATTTAGATGTCTCCAGCAGTCCACTAAGCCCAGCTCCTTTTCAGCTCTTTTTAGTACAGATGCTGTTTTCCCTGCCTTATGTTTTACTTTACTTAGTGAATCTTTGGCACACATTGTCATGTTAAAATCCCCTCCCAGAATTATCATCCCTTTCCCCTCTGTAGTCAATAGAGAAATCATTCTTCCCATGAATTCGGGATCTTGTCCAGGTGGATTATAAATATTTAACAAGGACATCACTTGACCATTAACTTTGCCAATAACAAACACAAATCTGCCCTCTTTATCCTTCACACATTTCTCGAGTTCAAATGGGGTACATTTCTTAATAATTATGGCCACTCCCCTCCTCGCTGTGGTATAAGATGATGAAAAAACCATGCCAGGTGTAAGCCTTCCCAATTTCTCATGTTCTTCTCTATTTAAATGCGTCTCTTGTAGAAATATGACTTCTCCTTCTTTTTTTAAATATTGTAATATCCGTTTCCTCTTGATGTGGTTATTAAGGCCATTTACATTTTGCGATACAATTCTTATCTCATTCATATTTATTCAGTTTAAGTCTCCCTTTAGTTGTGACACTCCTCAAAAAAGAAAATAAAAATAAAAACAAACACACCACATAAAACACAACTCTGACTTCCACTTGCCCCATCAGACCCCCTGATGGAAATGGATTCCCATGCTTTTTTATACGCATGATATCCCAGCTCATTCCCCTGAGCATATTTCCCTTGCAACTAAAAAAAAAACAATGAGAAGACATGCTCTTCTCAAACGTCAAACCAAATATTATTTAGATTTTATTTGGCTTCAGTATTAGCCTCTAAGTTTAAGTCAGGTGTCCCTTAGCTTCAGTTCTTAATCTGTCGTTTAAATTAAATCAAGAAAGTTCATCCCTCTCCGACAATAAGATTTAGAGGAACTCCTGTGACTTCATTTGAGTGTCCAAAGTCTTGTTAGATTTTCCTTGCTGTTTTGATTATCAAAACTTAACTCATTATCCTTGCAAATAAAGAAAAATAAAGTATCTGTACCTCTGTTCTTGCATCTTGTTCATGTCTGCAAGGTTTAGTTCTTCTTGGAGCGCTGGACAGTCTCCCATCCTGTGCGTTGCAGCTGCTGAATCCACGCTCCGCGCTCTGGGGCCACAGCACTCTCCGTGAGGCCGTAGGCCCGTTCTGCGTCTTGGGGCGTGTTATAGATCTTTTGTCCATTGTCCTCAATCACCAGTAACTTTGCTGGATAGCGAATATGCGATTTTATCCCATTTTCCTTCATGTGGTTTCGGATTCGCATGTATCCTTTTCGTTGATTTTGTAGTTTAGTTGTAAAGTCCTGGTCCAAATAGATGCGCTCTCCTCGATACAAAACCTCCTTTTTCATGCGGTTCTCAGTACCAGTTGCTTGGCCTCCCATGTGGGGAAACGTACGATGATACTCCGTGGCTTAGTGCGTGCGTCTGGCCTGATCCCCGCCGCCGAGCGGTGCGCTGCCAAGAGCCGAAGTTTTTCCCTGGGAAGCTGCAGCGCTTCATGTAGGAGCGTCTCCACAAAATTGATCATATCTGTTGGGTCGTTATCCTCCTTGACGTTATAAATACGCACATTCATCTGTCGTGACTTATTTTCCAGGTATTCAACTCTTTTTTCCATTTCGCCTACTTCTTGTGTCAGTGTTTTAATTACATCAACAAGGATCGCGTCCCGCTCGTCAGCGCACCTGCCTCTGTCTTCAGCTGCATCCACTCTCCTCGTTATCTCCTCCATTTTGGCTTTTTGATGTTGCATTTCTTCTTTAATTTCTGACATCTCCTTTATTGTTTCTTCACGAAAGGTTTTCACTTCTCCGCGGAATTCACGTAGTTCTTTTGTGATTTCTGCGTTGGCTTCTTTTAACAGCTCTTTCATGCGCGACTCGTCCAGGCTTGCCATGCTTGTGTCTTTCCTCTTAGTCTTTTTTTCCTTTTTCGTTTTTTCAGCAATTCTACCAGAACGTAAATTCATTCCAAATACCCCGATCTCTTTCAATTTTGTTTCTTATCTTGAGGCTCCAATCATTATTTCTTCAATTTGGTTTTCTGTTTGAGAGCCGCACGCTCATACACCGTCACACCCACATCACCGGAAGTCGTTGAGAGTCATTGTTTGGACAAGTCTGGCACCATAGTACATCTGTGACATATACAATACTTTATACCTGCTTCTTTTTCATAATATGGTTAGAGACTTTATTTTATTTCATTTTAATATAGCGTTATTATTCATTAATCTTGTGTTGTGTGCTCCCCGTTCCTATACTGTCCGTAACTTCTGATGCAACACTGAAATTTACCCACTGTGGGACAAATTAATAAATCACTTAATCTCAATTTTAGTGCCGTATGATCCAACTCGGACTCTGAGGAGCACAGGGACTGGCCTCCTCCTGGTGCTCAGAGTCAGGACGAAAGATAGATTCCGTTCCAGATTTATGCTGCTGACATCTGGGACAGTCTTCCTGAAAATGTGAAACGGGCTTCTACCCTGCATGTTTTTGTCCATTGGTGCACAGTGAGAATTCAGGACATTTAGGGACATTTAAGGACATTTACGTACAGTGGTCATCCCGCCCTATGGACCAATGTCTCTTGTGTGTTTGTTATTATTGCATCTCCTGTGTTTGAACGGTTTGATGAAATGGAAAATGTAAATGTGTTGTACTTGTATGTGTGTGGGTGTGTTGATGAACGTAATGGAGCCGTTTGTGCCGACGCTAACGGTCTCGTCCGTATTATGAACGGATAAAAGGCTTTAATCCTCGCAGAGTAATCAAGCTGCATCAGACAGAACACATCCCATTGTTTTCACAGGATTAATGTAAGCCAGGGGGACACACTATAACAGCACAATGAGAATACAACAATATTTATGGGAGATTTTAAAGGAGAACTCTTGTGTTTTATTTTAGCCCGTTTTACTTTGTCGTTTCGTGTTGTCAAACTCATTTTTGTCATTTTTTCTTTTATTATCATTATTTCTTTTTAAATATTTTTGAATGTAAGTATTTCAACATGAGTTTGGATATCCGGTCGGTTTGGATTCCACCTAGCCTAACCTTTTGAAACCTGTGTTAGTGTAAAGATATGTGTTGTGCAGGTTTGCCATAGTATCCCATTACCATCAATGCTACAACTTTCTGTTATAGTGATAAGTGAGAATCATTTCGAGGGCCACTAAAAATGGTCTTGCGGGCCGAATTTGGCCCATGGGCCTGAGTCTGACATGTCTGTTTTAGAATGTGAAATAACATTGTAATTTTCTCTCACTTAGTTAGTATTTTTATTCTATTTTTATTTCCTGGTTGTGCGGGATGACATCACTTCCTGTTATGGAGAGCCCAAAAACCAGGAATGAGTAAAAAATGTGCGTAAATGTGCGACTCAGTCACATGGCAAGGCTGGGCAAGTTTATTTGTATAGCACAATTCATACACAAGGCAACTCAAAGTGCTGAACAAAACAAGAACGCATTAAAATCATAAATAATCACAGAACATTAAAAAGAAAGGTAAAAATATAAAATCCCTCAGTTGTATGCACAGTTAAACAGAACTGTCTTTAACCTGGTTTTAAACATTGTCAGAGAGGAGGCCTGTCTCACATCTTCAGGAAGATTGTTCCAGATTTTAGCAGCATGAATCTGAAAAGCAGCCTCCCCATGTTTAGTTCTGACTCTGGGCACTAACAGGAGTCCAGTCCCTGTGCTCCTCAGAGTCCGGGCTGGTTCATATGGGACTAACATGTCACTAATATATTTTGGTGCGAGGCCATGGAGAGACTTGTACACAAGCAGAGCTGTTTTAAAGTCTATTCTCTGAGCCACAGGAAGCCAGTGCAGAGACCTGAGGACTGGACTAATATGGTCGTACTTCCTGGTTCTAGTCAGGACTCGAGCTGCTGCATTTTGAATGTACTGCAGCTGTTTTACAGCCTGTTTGGACAGACCTGTGAGCAGGCCATTGCAGTAGTCTAACCTACTGGAGACAAATGCATGGATAAGAATCTCCAAGTCTGCTTTAGACACTATGTTTTTTGTCTACACAAAACATTGTCTGTATTCTATATATTTTTCTATGTATTGCACTATGTATGTTTGTCATATACCTGTTTGTTTTGAATTTGTATTGTATCTGTGTTGGAATAAATAAATAAAAAATAAAAATAATCTTTGAAAAAAATGCGAAAAATGCAATGAAATCAGCTTTAATTTAATATGGCCCTTTGCCGCCAACACAAAGTACCCAAAGTAGACACACTAACAGCACAGTGAGAAATACAAACAATATTTATAGAGGATTTTAAAGGAGAACTATTGATCTTTATTGATTATTATTGGGCGGCACGGTGGCTGAGTGGATAGCACTCTCGCCTCTCAGCAAGAAGGTCCTGGGTTCGAATCCCGGTCGGACCAGGGCCTTTCTGAGTGGAGTTTGCATGTTCTCCCCGTGTCTGCGTAGGTTTCCTCCGGGTACTCCGGTTTCCCCTACCACTAAAAATATGTCCAATAGTTCTGGCATGCGCCTCCTGTACTGGTGACCCCGCTCCCATCTCTGTGTGGAGTGAGAGACAAATGCCCTAAATTAACAATTGTAAACCGCTTTGAGACTCAGATCTGCAGTGAAAAGGCGGTATATAAATAAAAACTTACTAACTTACTTACTATTGATTGTCCTTTTTACTTTGTCATTTCATTTAGTAAAATGAACGTAAAATAATATTGAAAGGACAACATAAATGAATAAATGAAGGGTAAAAAAAGCTTTATGAGACTAGAGACATTCCCAACAGGTCTGTGGAGAGGCAAGCACGGCCACACTCAGGACACATGTTTTCATACTCATTGCTAGAATAGAAATAGCAAGTGATAAAAAAAACATGCTAAAAGTTCCGTAGAGAGACTTTAAACCACGCTGTTTCTCACCACTCTGGTAAAACCTCACGACCTGCTTTTGTGGCTGTGTAAACACGAAGGCGGCGGCACAAAGGCGTCGCTGATTTCCATGTGAAAAAAAGCCTCTTCACATCACGACTCACAAAGCACTGAAGCCGTTTGGCCTCTGACCCCGAGGCCCGCACTGGTCAGGACATTAAAGCTGGGGTACCTGACTTTCGTTTTCATAAATGACTCATGTGGTGCGTCTCAATAGGAAAAGTCTAAAAGTAAAATGTTTAGATTGCAACCTGCTGTTTTCATCCTATGAGAAAACCTTCTTGGGGCAGAGAGCTGATTGGATGAGTGAGGGTGGTACTCTCTCTTCCACTTTTAAAAAATACATACAAAGTAATGATAAAACCAGTGAGATAAGAGTGACATAGATAATTAAAGTTAAGTACCCAAACTTTTATGTTCATACACTTGAAGTAGATCAGTTTGGCACTAGATCATATACAGAATTGGGACGGAAGCAGAAGTAAATATAACCAACTACCTAAACTAATAGATCCATGTCTAAACTTTGTTAGGATTTAGCAGACAGAGACAATGTATGCATTAAACTCATAATCATCAAATCAATATCAGTGGATTTTATCCTCTATCCTGGGAAAAAATAAAAAAAATAAACAAACAAATCAAAAATAAAAACAAACAAAAATAAAAACAAACAAAAACTATTGGACACACAAGAACTCAGCAGATTCAGTCAAAACACAGACAAAAACGAGCTGAGTCTCAAATTTGAAGCTAATTTCACTTTTATTACTCTATACTTTTATTCTAATGCTAATTGTTTACACTACACTTCACTTATTTCACTGTATTATTTTCACTTTTTAATCTTAGACTGTGTACTTTACTCTCTATTCACTATAGTTTAAACTATTCTAATCTATTTACAAATATGTTTGTATATTTGCTTCTATTGAGCCATATTCTTAAACATACATTTTAATCTAATAAATCTCTCTTTAGTTTTACACTCTCATTATCAGTGGCATATTATCAGTGGGATTTCAGAATCAGAATCAGAATCATTTTTATTGCCAACGTAAGTAACGGGAGGTCACAGACTTGGAAATTGCTTTGGCTCAGTGCAACAGTCAAAAAGAGATAATAAAAATATGAATAAAAAACACTTCTAAAGAATAAATTTAAATTTAAAATAGAGTTACAGTTACTATTTACAATATACAAGTGCACATGGTGCACACAATGTAAGGTGACAGCAGTACAGTGAAGTAAAGTGACGTATGATGGGCAGTAAAGTGACTTTATAAAGGGCGGGGGGACAGGTTAAGAAGTGTTCAAGAGTCCAACAGCAGAGGGGAAGAAACTGTTCTTGTGGCGGGAGGTTCTAGTCCTGATGGACCGCAGCCTCCTGCCTGAGGGGAGTGGTTGGAATAGTCCATGTGCAGGGTGAGAGGGGTCGGCTGTGATACG